CGTGAAAAGGCCCGACAATGAAATAGGACTTTTTAAATTACTTTAGGTTGTTTTTTTATGGATTATTGATTATCTTACGTTTTACGGAGAAGAACAGGTGATTACTCTTACCTTTTGATTTTTTGATGTTTGAATATTATTATCAGTTGGAAGTTCGTATTCCGACTATCAGATTATCAAAGTCAATGTTGATTTGATATCTGTTTTCATAAGTTGTTCTCAATATGTTTTCATCCCTAATTACCGAATGTTTATATGAAAGCATGAGTGTCTAAATACCATGACTGGGGTTGTGGGATCTATGACGATAATCTATTTTTGATTCCGTAAAAAGAGTAAAAGGAAGTCCGTGTTTACTTTGTAGTGCTTAGCTTTCAATATCATTTTCGTCTAGTAAGTGCACACATTAGAAGAGCATGTATTTTGTATTTGTTCGAGTGAAAGATACCAGTTAGGAAAAAGTAGAATTAAATTAACAACTTGGCGTCAAAGCTTGAGTTCGAGAGAAAAGATCTTTAACATCACATCACTTCAAGTGAAGTTTAATGATGATAACACTCTAAGGTCAAGAGAACATGAGTAATCAACATCTAATTATACTAAGAAGCATTAGATAAATTTAACTTGCAAATTTTGTAAACAATGATTTGCTTGAAACTCAAAGTAGGGGAGAACACTAGAACTAAAGTTATGGTGAACGCAACCCTAGTTTCTCTTAAGTAACTGAATCAACATTATAACAAAGTAGTCTGTTATATATGAATCTGGATTTTGAATTCAAATTTTGGCAGTTAGAACATTTCAATCAAACCCAATTTTCTTTCATTGTTATTTGTTTCAGAGATAATAACAACATTTGAATAAACACGACAGTGAAACCTTATCTGTAACAAAATTCTTTGTGGGATCCACTTTAATTCTAATTGAATTATGTAAATTGACAATTACCATTTATACTTCTCATTTGAAGTGTTGGTTTGGATGTATCAAGTAGCTATTGCACAACTAGGGTTGTGGGAACCATGAAGAATTAACAATATAGACCGAATAACTAGTAATTCTTGGATTCAGTTCACGCATGTATTGTTTTCTTTATATTTTGATTGCATTCTAAAAGTGCACAATGTTAGAAATCGCTTTTTTCCTACTCTCCAGAGAAAGGGGACAACGAATGGATAAAAAAAATTGTATCATGGAGATTTGAGGCTATCAACCCCGTCTAATAGCTTGAACAACCAAGGGATGGATAATTTAGGATCAAGGATAAGGATAAGTAAAAGATACACCCGTAGACAGACCAAATTGCATGGTGAAATTCACTAATTTAGGGGACCAACCACGTAGGTGATATCTAACTTACCGATCTTTCATGCTAGACACTAGATAAGATAACTACTATAAGTTTTACTGAGTTAAGGATTCATGGGAACACGTATACCATACGTTCACATTCTATTGATTCTTACAAACATAAATTTTTCTTAATTTGATATTTGTAACTTGCAATCACTCCAATAAATATTTGTTACATACCCCCACCCACCCACCCACCCAGCCACACACACACAACCTCTTCTTTTTTTTTACAGAAGTAACCCGACTAAAAGTGCAAGTAATCACAATTAAGTAAAGTTTGAAACTCATTCCTCATAAGATTAACCTATCCTTTGTTACGACCGTTATATACTTCTTTTTGAAGTGTAATACGGGCATATCAAATTTTGACGTCACTTCAAGGGAATAAGGCTTTTGACTTTGACTAATTGTGTTGTTTGACTATTAGTCATCATTTCCTGATTTGTGATTTTCTTTTTATTTGTGTTAATATAAGTTAATGTATATCAAATATATGGAGTCAAGTCATTCCCTTTTTTCTATCCAATCCTAAAATTCAAAGAGCTCTTTGGATTATGGTTAACGACAGTGGCCATCAAAATGTAGAATGAAACGCAGAACGAGTCAGAATGGAAGAAGATAATAATACCCGAAATGTCTCCCAATGTGCCTACAAGAGAACAATCGAAACAACCAATTGATGGGGGAAAATCAACCTCCACCCAGGCAGAGACTAGAGTTTGGTGTTTGGAATAGTTATGTGGTCGATCATAATGTTATTGGAACTATGGGTACTATCGTGGTACCTCCATTGTCACCCGGATTGAAGTTCGTCGAGAAAAATATTTCTCATTGCTAAGAATTTGAAGCTAAAGGATAAAATCAACAATTTCCAAAAAGAACATGGAGAGTCGATAAGTGTTGCATGAAAAAGATTTACAAGGTGTCTGAGAAGTGTGCCAAACCACATAATAGACCACCAGTCACTTCTTGAGATCTTCTATAGAGCAATGGATGACAATTCACTATTACTAGTGGATCATTCATGACAAATACTTTTGAGGAAGAAAAGGAAAAACTTGATTGGGTTGAAAAAACAAATACACCATGGGGATACAGAAACCTTAAGGAGCACTTTTTAGTAAGCGCAAACCAAAATTTTATGTGAGGACACGATTATATGGTCCGAGAATTTGAATAGTTGCAAATAGAAGTTAACTTGACACTCAGAAAGAGTCAATGTAGTCAATTATCATGGTAGAGCACCAACACATAATGATTTATTATGTGAATGATCAAATGAGGAGTGTATGGACTAACGCTCAAAATTCCAATCAGGGCACTTGGTGCCAAGGTCAAGAAAATCAAGGTCAAAACTACAGCTAAGATAAGAAACTTAATCGAGATGGCCATTATATCAGTGACAACATCCAAAATGGGTACAATGTCCAAGATCGGGGCCAAAACAAGAAAAGGTCACTGGACAAGGAGAGATAATAACAAAAACAAAGGAGTGGTGCATATGTCCCACCAGACAATAGAGATAGAGGATCCAGTTAGCAAGCAATGAAGACATGATGACCACAATGATGAAATGGTTTGACTCATTCGATAATAATATCAAGGAATTATACAATAATCTATTGGGCATGAATCAGAAAGTAGAATCACATGTTACATCCATTAAGAAAATTGAGCGGTAGTTGGATTAGATTTTCTCATCCTTAAATCCATGTCAAAAAGTTGCACTTCCAAGCAATGAAATTTAAAATCCTGAAAATGATGGGAAGTGCATGAAAATAATCAAATAAATCATAGATTCTCCAATACCAATAATTGTGGAAACCCCAAAGGAACTTGAAATCATCAAAGATGAACATGTGGGGGAACTAAAAGATTCGATCGAGGTGGGGTGGGGGGTGGCCGGGTGGGGCAGGAAGTTACTTAAATATACTCTTTCAGTTTAAAAAAGAATGATCTCCTTTCTTTTTTAGCATGTTTAAAAAAGAATGACGTCTTTTTTTTTGTAAATTTTAATTTCAGTTTTCCACGTGACATGTTTAAGGCCACAAGATTAAAGAACAATTTTGTACTATTGACATAACTTTAATTTAGAACCATAAGATTCAAAAGTCTTCTTTATTTTCTTAAACTCCGTGTCAAGTCAAACCAGATCATTTTTTGTGAAACATATGGAGTAATTCCTATGCATAAACCTCATCCACCCTTCACAAAGACTAGTCAAGAAAGTTGAGGAAGACAAGTAATGCAAATTTATGCTCTTAATTAATATTATATAAATAGTTAAGTAATATTTTTTAAAATTAATATATTTTAATCAAATTATCCATAAGAATAAAAGTACAAGATTTCTATGAACATCATGAAATGCATGTTTGAAAAAAATGTTAACATTATAAATATAATGTCATAAAAATCGAATATATTTGGGAAAAAAACTATCAAGTCTAACTACAAAAATAATTGACTTGCATGTGATATATCAAGTCAATACTACTAAAATACATGAAACTAGAAATATAACATTAGTTGTAGATTCAAAACAAAGAAATTTAACATAGTACTCTTATGTCAAACTTCAACATAATGTACATAAATATGATTTAAAAGAAAAAGAAAAAGGTAAATTTATAACTTATTCAACAATGAATTCTACTTTAATTTAAAAATTAAAATACTAAAAAAAATTATGCTAATAAAAAAATAGATAATAGAAAATTTGAATAAAATAACATGAGAAAGTAAAGGTTGAGAATTAAGAGTACAATTATGTAATATCCTTCAATTATACTCGATTCCTCTTTATAAAGCAATTACTTGGTCTACCACATATTCATCTATTTTTTTATTATTTATCAACTTTTGAATTGATATGTCTGTTAAGTAAATATTGATTGACATAATAAAATTATCATTTTATTTTTATTAATTATAAATAAATAAATTTAAATTATAAAATTTAATTTTTTTAAAAAAATTCCATATTCTTAAAAATAATTAATTAAAAAAATCAAACAAATAATTAGGACAATCAAAAAGAAATTTTCCTATACCAAATTACACTAAATTCCAATTACATTGTCCCTTTTCGAACAAGCTCATAAAATTTTGACAAGTATTATTTTTTCACGAGAAAAGTTTGTGAACACCGCAGAGCAAACTACATTTATTAAGGTGGGTTAGCGTAATTTTATATTTGTTGTGTCTTTAGTTATTGTCAATTTTTTTTTATAATTGTCCCTAATTATATTGTACATTTTGTTAAATCAAGTAACGATAAATAACCCTTGGGTTATTTTTTAAAAGGTAGTATTTCTTGAAAGTTTTAAATTTTTAATCAATCCAATTAATAATTAATAGGAGTAATATGATAAACTTACTAAATTAATAATTGCTTTGTTAATAGGTGTGTTAATTCAAAAAATGAATAAGTAATTAGAACAAAGAAAATATTTTTTTTTATTTATTCCATAAAAAAATATTTATATATTATATAATAATTTAACTTTAAAACTTTTATTTATGATGATAAAAATAATTTATAATTACACAAATATTTATTAATTATTTCAAATCCAAAATTTTACAATTTTTTTTATTGAATTTGATATAAAATCTAACTAATTCATATATAATTGAAACAGAGAAAATGCTGCCTCTCGGCCCCTGTTGTCACAGTTTTGGATACGTGGGGCTTTTGCTTTCTCTGTTCTCACCTTTTTTCTTTTTTTCCTTTTCTTGTATTCTACAACTTCCTATCTCTTTGAATCCCTACTGATTCTTTTGCCTTTATAAACCCCACTGAACCAACGTAGACCTTCCCTTTTTCATAAATTTTCACATAGTCCTTTTTGATTTAATAAACTCTAACTTTGAACTCTCTGAGGAGTCCATTGCAAGGCCAATCTCCAATATTCCCCCTATAAGAGCATCCAGAGCAGTAGATGAAGATCTCTACAAGATTTCCCCTCAATTGCTCCACTATAAGCCTACAAGGGTAATCCATTTTCTCTCTTTCTTCTTTAGACGCAAAATTTTAATTTTTTTCTTTAAAGTTACAAAATTATAAAATATATTTGACATAATTTTTATTTAAAAATGCAAGTCTTTTTTATTAACTTAAATTTGATGACATCAAATCAAACGGGAATTCAATGAGAAGATAACAAACAAATAGAACTAGATCTTACATTACTAATCCTAGACTATGTATTCCATACATATGTGAAGTTTTTACTTAATTTAGGCTCTCAACGGAAAATGATTTCTTGGAGGTAAATGTATTTCCTAATAAAAACAATTCAAACACAAAAACTTATTAAAATAAATTTATTTATCATTCTATAACCACTGTGCTTGGTCCTCCTCCTATTATTAGAGGGCAATGTCCTATGTCTACCTACAAAGGGAAAGTCAGCACCTTACTCTTTTGTATTTTGTATTTTTTCTATTTATTTTTTTTTTCGTTTGTGTTCTAGATGTGGAAATCAAAAATCTCTGTGAAACGCTTCTTTCCTCTATGAAATTTGTGCCATTAATGATGGATACCCAATTCTTTTTAATAAATCCAAAGGCGCTAGCAGATATTGTCATTTTGCTACATCAATGACTCAATGTGATACCTTAAAGGCCTTTTTCAAAAAACTAGTCCTTCCATTTATTTTTACTTGACACATGTATTTAAGAAGTTATTATTGATATAAAATTTACTACACCATCATATTATTAATTAATATTTAGTATGAGATTTTGAAATAATATAAAATTAATATTTAATAGTAGAGGCATAATATATATATATATATATATATATATATATATATATATATATATAAACCTCTGTTTTTATTATATCAAAAATGATGGGTAAAAGTGAACAGTCAAAAGTAATACCTTCAGAATTTCTTGTGGCTAACTTTTAGGTTTTTGTACTTTTGGTGACTTGTTGCAGAAAGGTGTTAGGAGATTCTTTTCGAGCTGCTTGCTGCCAACTTGTGCTTCTTGATCCTCAAATAACACAAGATTGTCAACATTATATAGGACTAGTAGTATCGTATAAATAGTTGCTATGTGTCTATTATTAATATAGTGTTTGGAGTATTTTCTTGGGGTTTTAGCATTAAATTGGCTTATAAACCCAGAGATTATGCCAGCCCAAGAAAACAAATATCCATCATTAGCTTAGGATGGTCAAAATTAAGAGAATTCCTTCTCTATTCTATTGCTAGTATGTTTCCCTTTGGAAGTATTTTCGTCTCAATTGCTCTGCTAGCTAATGCACTTCTGTTTTGCTTCCTTAAATTAAAGAAAGTTGACTATATCATGTTTTGATTTGATACTGTGTTTAGAAGAAGAAAAAAAATTAAAATAATCCTTTTAATATCTGTGTGATAGTAAATTATTTTATTAAAAGTAAAACTAAATTTTAAAATTAAAATACTTTTAATTATAATTTGGGATGGATAAAAAGAAACGAATGTCATATAAAGTGAGACAAATAGGACAAGGTAAGGTTAAACCTTTTTTTTAAAAAAATCTAGTGGAAGGTTATGTTGGTAATAAAGTATTCCTTCTACTTCAATATGTGTTATATTTTTTCATTATTCGAGAGTCAAATATTTAAATGTGATTGAAATTTTATGATTTTTCACTTTTTTAAAAATGAAATTTACATATTTGTAAACTACGAAAAAATATTATAAATCGCAATAATTGATAGCCCAAAAACTATGAAAAATAAAATTGTTTGAATCTTAAAATTGAAAAAATATCACATAAAATAAAACACGGAAATAGTATTTATTAAGGGAAAATGCACAAGTACCCCTCAACCTATGCCTGAAATCACAGAGATACAGTTATACTATACTAAGGTCCTATTACCCCTGGACTTATTTTATAAGTAATTCTCTATCGTTTTTTGGCCTATGTGGCATTAGCTTGAAAAAAAAGTCAACCAGCGTTAGATTCACAAGATAGTGTCACGTAGGCCAAAAAGGATAGAAAATTATTAATAAAATAATTTAGAAAATAATAAAACATTAAAATAATATAAATATATCTCTAAAATTTTGGACACAAATTTAGGAGGATACTTTCACATTATCCTATTAATTAAAAGGCAAAAGAAAATACTTTTAAGCGGAAAAAGTGAAAGCGCCCTCGTGTTTTCATTATGCTGCCTAGCATGTGTCCTCTGGTTTTTGTTTCTTTAATTCTTTTATGTTTTTGTCTTGTGCTATGACTTTAATTGACTGCAACTAGTCAAGAGTAGCAATCTGCTAATTGTGCGTTACCTTTTAAATGTCAACCACTAATTACATTTCCATGCACAAGGTTATAACCATATATATACTTGTAAATTGCACCAATTAAGTAGCGTTGTTGTTACTTCATTCCTCCTATAATAGTTGTTCACTATATTAAAAATAGTTATTTAATAATATTTATTTAATTTAAAAAATTAAGAAATAATTTCACCTTTCATATTTATTTTATCTTGCTATTAATTATTATTCATCTAATACATTTCTCAAATCAAATTTAATAAAATTAAAGGACAATATAGTAATACTACTTTTATTATTTATTATTTTTTGAGGGATGTATCAAGTCAATAATGGACAATTATTATTGAACACGAGGAGTAATGAATAATAGCTTGGTTCCTTTTTTATTTATTAGTATTTTTAAGGGGTGCGTCAAATTAATGGTGAATAGTTATTGTTGGATAGAAGCAGTAATAAATACTCCCTTGATCCCTTTTTACTTGTTCATTTTGACTTTTTACTTGTCATTTTGAACAAATCAAGAAAATATAATAATTTTTACCTAATGTTTTTTGAAAAAAGATAGAACATCTTTAATGAATAAATTAATTTTAGAATTCTATTAATTTATAGCGATAAATTCACTATAACAATTATTTTTTTCGTCCGGTATTGTTTGTCATGATATCTATTTTTAGAGTCAAACTATAAAAACTTTAACTAACATTTTAAGATGCATTTTTTCATCATATAGATATGCAAAACATTGTAATGTATAGTACTTTTTATATAGTTTTAGAATATCTAATTTTTTTGTTTAAAATATCGAATTAATATGATCTAATTTACCTTTGAAAATTAGTCAAATTGACTTTTGATAAATGCAACATGACAAACATTTTCGAATGAAATGGGTATTATCTACTTTTTTATATATATATATATATATATATATATATATATATATATATATATTAACTAAAAATAGACAAATAAATAGAAATAGAGAGAATAGTTTTTAACGGTGAATAATGAGCTTGCATTCCAAAACTAGGTAGCTAACTTGTGTGAGTATGGTCACTTACAAGTCTTGGTCAAGAAAAGAAAAAGATGTGTTGACCATCTCGTCTTTTACTAAAGTTGGTTTCTTTCTTTCTTCTCTAAAAGAAGAGTAGAGGTGGAAACACCGACCTCTTTCAATAAACACAAGTGTCTAATGTAAAGCAATGATAAATAAAAGGAGAAGAAAAGTGTAAGCAATAAATAATCTCTACAATGTTATATATATATATGAAATGATCAAAACGAATGGAATACAATAAATTTTTGTGGTCCCATTTTTTTTTAATTTTGCTCATAACGAAAACTTAATACACTAATATGTCTTTCTTTTCCTCTGATATGCATCATCTCTGTCTCTCTAAGGCACCAATACTTTTTGGATATAACCTGAAAATGTATTTATTAGTGAGCATTTTACTTTCTAGACGCATTCATTATTGACAAATAAAAGTAAAAGTTAGGTATGGAGCGACTTAGTGTTGGATCTGTTTGTGAAACAAATCGTGGACACTCTTAATTTGGTGTGATAATGTTATATATGTGGCTAGATGCACAATTATTTCCAAATGTTCTCAGTCTACTCCTAAACAAAAACTTAGCTATTTTCATCTTATGACACTGTTAAGGATAGACACATATCCATCAATGACTTTTGAAATTCATTTTACATCATTGTACCCCTTTAGTGCCACAAAAAATCCACTAATTTAGTATCAAAATTATGGTACTTCTCATATATTATCAATGCCCCTTTTCCAAAATAATGCATCAAAAATCAACATTATATTTTTACAAGACAAGTCTAAATCGTCATTAAAAAATATTTGTCCTATTTGAAATTATCATTTCAAAAATCAGTTTCAACAACACTGGTATGATAATATACTCACTCTATATAAAAGAAAACAAGATTCTTCACTAAATTCATTTTTTTTCTCATCACCATTTTTAATTATCAGTTTTCCCACTCACATCATTTTATTATTAATAAACACAATTTATAGGCAACACTTATTATTAACATACTAATAACCATCCATTCAGAAATATAATACAATCCTTTTTTCTTCCATTTCAAAAAAGCAAGCAACATAACTTTAACAAGTCACCGGCCTCTATACTTTTGAAATTTTATAATGGTAGATAACTTTTTTCACAATTTATGATTGACCTTTCAGAGAGAATACTTGCAATTTTATAACCCTTCTTAAAAATACTAGACACAAAAGAAATCCATACTACTTGAACCTTTTCTATAATTCAAAATGAAACTAAAAAATTCATGCCTACCCAACATATAATCCCTTAATTCCTTCTTCTGTTTTCCGTTAATGTTAAAACAAGAAAAAATCAACACAGAAAAATAATTTCATGTATTGATAGTATACAACATAACAACAATACTATGAAAATATATGATGGGATATTTACACATGAACCACATGATAAGATATAGTGAAATTCAAAACTATAACTTAAACAGTTTATTTTGAGTATTCTAGAATAACATGAACCAAAAACCAACAACATCCAACTATAGACAATATTAAACAAAAACATATCAAATTCAATATTAATGTATATCTATTTCCATAATTTGATAAACATCAAGAACAAATAAATCATGTTTATAAATTTCTTTTCACAAAAATCACTTTGTTAACACTTTATCTAACTCAAATAAAAATTTTAACTTTTTCTCATAATATTATAAGAATCATTGATCTGAATATCAAATTGCATATTAAGTCAAATAATGTCAATATTTTTATATGTGAGTTTATCATTCATAAAACTCAAAAGATCTATTAACACCAATATACGCATATCATTTTTCTTCTTTAACTTTAGTTGAGAACACAAAATTAATTTTGTTGGCACAAATAGTGGCTACAACTCAGATCAATTTCTCACTGTAACACCGGAAAGTGCTAAAGAATTATGAAAGTCCACAGAATTTGGCTTTTATGGAAAATATTTACAGGCCGTACAAGGTTTCACAGATTGTAGATGTCATCCATGGTCACACAGGCGAACCTAGGATTTGAAAAATCCGAGTGCACCAGTATTAATCTAAAAAAAGTTATAAAAGAAGATCTACTTCGGATTGAACCCTAGTCATTTGGGTGGAATGTTAGCTTATACCATTGCTACAAAGCACCAGTTCACAACTTCTATAGATATACATAACTTTTTCGAAAGTTAATGTATACGCGTGCACCCCCACAATATCATGTGGGTCCGCTTCTGTGACCGTGGATTGGACTTCAGAAGTAGAGTTTTAGGTTTTAGATTTACTAGAGCCTTTTACGGTTTGTATAATTTTTCATGGACTGTAAACCTACTCGTCAATCGAAAGTTTAGAGAGTTGAAATTTTGGAACTTGAACAGGACGAGTGGAATTTAGGGGACATTGAAGGATTTATGGATAGTAAACTTGAAACTTGAAAAAATTTAGAGAAATCTCTGACTTTGACGGATCGCTAGGATGGGCCGTAGAAATCTTTATGGATCATAGATTGTGTCACATCTGAGGAGCACCGTTTAGAAGTAACATGACGTACTTGACCTCTCGGAGGTCTTATACAAGCCCATAGTTATCATTCATCGTATTGTCATGGTAAATTTTTAAAACTTTTCATAACACATCATATGCTAGAAACTTTAATATATATATATATATATATATATATATATATATATATATATATATATATATATATATATATATATATATATATATATATATATATATAACATAAGTCATCATACCGATTTAGACCTTAAGCCTCTTTGTCGTCTTAGACTCAACAACATTAGAGTACATCAGGGACACGACCCTTAAGACATAAAAGATAAGTATAAATTTATAAACTTTACAATAAAGACTTAACATAGGAAATCCTTAGACTTAAGGATTCCTTTCCTTGAGCTTGGAAATCACATATCAAGCTCCTCAATCATATAGGCATCCTCTAAGCATACAT